AGGGTGCATCATCCTTAACTGCCCTGATCCAGTGATGTAATCAGGAGGATATAGGGCATAGCAATGGGTTTTATTCAGCATCTTGACTCTAAAGAATGAGAAATCATTGCTAAAGCCATAAAATGTTGAAGAAGGTGTCTTTAGACAAACCTTCTAAAGAATCCTTTTATAACTTCTGTACTGCCTGGCACAGATCCCCCACTCAACAAAATGAGCTATTATCATTGGCTAATATTCCTTGGCAGGTCAGAAGGTAAGCGGCATCTCTTCCTGAGTAGGAGAGACTCATCCAGGTATTAATAATAATTCAGAAACCATTTGCTTAGTGCCTTTTTTTGTGGCAGACACTATTCTGGATGTGGCTCAAGCCTCACTGAATAGTCACCAAAAATGAACTATGACTTAGGTATTATTTTCCCCATTTTAAAGATATGAACGAAGGACTACAGAACTTAAATTATTTTCCGAAGATCACTGGCACAGTAAGTAAATGGCAGCGTTGGAATTTGACACCAAGTTTTTCTGGCTCCAAAGTCCAGGCTCTTTTCTCAGCATTGCACTAAGACTTTGAGGTTTTGTGTCAAGTAATGGAAATGGAGACAGTAATTACCTCATAAGGGCATGCTCTGGGCAGAGGACTGTAGAGAATTATCAGTGCATTCATCATTAGGGGGTAGATAGAGCAATCAAAATGCTCCTAGCTACTTGTACCAAGGGCTTACTGTGTGGCAGGCAGTGTGCTAAGCACTTTCATGCAATGACTTTTTAATCTATTTGCTGTTAATGCTATTGTGTTTGTTGTTAACCCTTTTTAATTTTAAGGATTTTTAAAAAATTATTACAACAGACCTATGTGGTTGGTACTAATATCCTAGTTTATAGATAAGGAAACAAGACACAGAAAGGAAAATGAGACACCCAAGGTTCCCTAAATGACCTGCAGTTCAAGACCTGGCCTCTGATATGTCTGACTGTAGAGTCCACAGTCCTAACCACCATTGTCTTTGGACATGATCAATAAATTGCCTAGCTTCCCATCTGTAGCTGGAGATGGCTAAACCATACAGGAACATGGGGCAGAGAAAAAATGAGATGCATTCCTTATAGGGTTGTCTATGACTCTCTGAACCACACTAAGATCCGGGATCTTTTATGAAGTCCAGTGTGATGGTCTCCAGAATTCTATTCTGCAGTGGCCACTTGGGTCAACAAGATCTCAGTAGACTGACCAGAGATCCTACCCCCATCAGTGCCATGAAGAGCAGAGTCTATTTCTTTCCTGCTTGAATCTGGTCTTGGCCATGAAACTACTTTGTCCAGTAGGACATTATCAAACATGATGCACAGGCTGGAAAAGCATCTGCATGTTGGGGCATGTTCTCTTGCTCGTCTTGGAACCCTGAAACCACCAGGTGAACAAGCCAGAGCTAGCCGTCTGAGCAATGAGAAGCTATGTGGAGGAGAATCAAAGAACCCAGGCTGACAACCTGCTCACTGTCAGTCATGTGACTGGTGCCATCCTAGACCATCAGATATCCACAGACACAAGCAAGAACCCTTTAAATTTTGTGCCCAGGAGACGTACCTCACTTGCAGCACCCCAGTTCCAGCCCCAAGAGACAAGTCCTCTTTTCTTGTTCTAAGATCTCTCGGGAAGCTGTGTATGTGGTTAGTATTCTAAGTGCTGGGTAACTATAAGATCATATATAATGTTTATGGACCTCTCTACAAGGTCGAAGAGACCACAGGATCGAGGGCTTCCAATGAGGTGAGACCAAGACCATGGATGCAGATGACCAGAGGTAACACCCAGGAACCGTGCCATACAGTCAGGTCCCTCAACTGGCAGATGCCTATATATATTGTCTATTCCTATTTGCATTGAATGGTTGGGTCAGTAACTGAAGTCACTGAGACAGAGCCTGGTTCGTCAAGTTTCCTCAGGTAGCCTAATAGGCCATAATGTGGACCTATCTGTAGAAGAATGCCAACCACACAAATTTCTACTAATATCAAGAATGTTTCCTGGCTCAAACTGGGGTTAGAGTAGCAAAGGCGTAGAGGAAGGAGTCTAGCACATCCCCTGTGCATAGGTGGAGACTGTGCTTGTCTGCTCCATGAGCTTGCTGCACACCAGGTCCTCCAAGGTCACACAGGAGGAGGGCATCCCTCCCTAACTGCATGACTCTTACAAGCAGCCAAAAGAGAGCCTGGCTGGCTTGGTGAGCAGGTGTGACCAGATCTTTAATCATGTCTCCAGCCACGGATGGGAAAAGGTCAATGAACTGAGTCAAGCCAGTTCAGGAGTCTGGACCAATTTATCATCCTTAGTGCCAACTGACCTTCTTGGAACTGTGTCCAGAGATAGAATTATTCCAAGTAGGCTGCCAAATCCTATGCATGCTAGCTACAGGGAGTGCTGTCTGTCCTCCCCACACTCAAAGCAATGAATGGCTACACTGGCCATCTGTCTTTGCTGCCTGCCCAGCATATATTCAATGTTATTCATTATCACCCACCATCATCATCTTCACACATATAGCACTTGTTATGTACCAGACACTTCTACAGATATATATACACTGGATACTCATAACAAGACTATTATTTTATCCATTTCTCAGATGAGGAATCTCAGGCACAAAGAGATGTAAGTACTTTATGTTGCCCACAGTCACCCATATCTGAGCCTAGGAATGCTGCTGGCTCCATCCACAGTCTAGATGTTAACCAGTACACAATACCTCTTCTCCAGTTCTCCTATGAGGTACCACACCTCCCTGACACTTAGATCTGTGGGTGGCCACACAGGGCCTCCATGCCAGCAGTAGGCACATGACCACACCTGGCCAATCAGCATAACCATCCTTCCAGCTACATGTAACCCATGGCAAAATGAAACTTCAGCCTTTGTCATTGGAACTGAAGCACGAATAAGACATAAGACCATAGGTGTCTCAGCACTCATGCTCTCCTAGGAGAAAAATCTTCCTAAAACAGATACCAAGACAGAAAGCTTAGCCGAGGAAGGGAGAAAGGTCCTGGGGACCTCTTTTCAGTACCTTGATTCACTATATCTGAAGGCAGTCTAACTACCCTTGGGCTTTTCAGCTTCAGGGACCAAAAGTTTCCCTTTCCACACAAACCAGTCTGAGCTGAGTTTCTGTCTTAGGCAACAGGAAAAAAGTCAACAGATGTAGACAAGATATAGGAAACACCATCCTCTTGGCTGCCACATGAGACTGAAGCCTTGGACTGCATGAACATTCAGAACTCTATAATGCAGCCAGGCTGTCCCCCCAAGCCTCCCTGCTTATTATCCTGGGGAACAAGAGAAGGAATTGCACTAAAAGGGCCCGAAGTGTGATGTAAGAGAACATGAGGGATGGCCCATCTTCATCTCTGCAGATAAGTCTTGATTGTTTCATGGTGCCTGGAGTACTTAAACCCAAGGACCACAGTTTCTGAGCCAAGGAACTGTCACCACAAGCTCTAGAGCATTCATGTTGTTGTGGCAACAGTTACGCCCCTGATTTGCAGCGAAATGGAAGATGACCACTTACAGAAGGCCAACAATGGTCGACAAATGCAATGACAGTGGTAGTCACCACTCACTTCTGGCAAGCCGTCAGCTATCGGGTCTAAGTGGGTAAGGACTGGCCCAGTGATGAAGACAATGCCATTGGGGAAAATTCCAGGAAGATGAACCAAAGAAGGAAGAAAATAAGAGGGCAAGGGGTAGTAGCCACACATAAACAATGCCAAGCACAGTTCATTACTGGGCCAAAGGAAGGGTGTGCGTGCCGCACAATCCCACCAATGTATTTTCAGCTGCATGGAAAAGAATGTCCCCAAACAATGAGACTACCAAGAGGAGCTCCTCATCTCAGAAGAGAACTAGTGTTGGCTCAGCAGCTCACCAATGTCATCAATTACCCAGGTTCCTTCAACTCTTCTACCCTACTTGGGATGCAAGTGTGTCTCCCTCATTAACCCAAAGGTGCTGCCACAACTCCATACATTATATCCTCCCACAAAAATCCCCAACAATGTGAAAAAGGAAGGGATATCTGCTCCTATCAGAAAGGAAAGTCCTTCCTAGAAGGCCTCCCCCAACGTCCCCCCAAGGGTCCCACTGAACACATCAGGGTCACCTGGTCACTCACTAACTACAAGGGGGCTTAAGAGGCAAGTATCAGGCATTTTCAACTCTGGGCATAGAGGTGATCTCTGCCAGAAAGAACACAAGGAGGGCTATCAATGGCTGTTGAGTAGGTGGTCGACAATGTACCTCAAGCTTTGGGCAAACTTAGACCAAGGCTTTTGTCATATCCTTACAGGGCTCATAGTCATTCACTTAATAGTTTCCTTAAATCAACTTATCTTTTGATTAACCTAAATACCTTTATTTAGGTAGGGAAGTTTATATCCCTACCATAAATTCAAAAACCACTACTAGACATATTAAAATAAGTTCATAATGATTAAAATAAAAGTTATTTACCTGTTTTACCCAGAAGGACCCCCTGTCCCACCAACAGTAGCCAGACTTTGGGATGCAAAGAGAGGGATAAACTCCTTTCCTCCTAATTCCTGGGCCCTGTTATCAAGAATACCCTCACCACAAAGTGCTATAAAGTGCATCATAAGGTACTATCCTGACTACCTTTTTACAGTAGCAGGGACAATCTAGCATCTGACCACCACTCTCCATGCCACCCGCCCCCCCAATAAAGATGAAGACAGCAAAACCATAATAGGGGAACTAGCTGGCTTCCTGTGCAGTCACACCCTGCTCCCAAAATGCTTTCTTTTATCCTTTCCGTTAAAATGAAAAATGTCTCAGAGGCTGAAGGGACTACCCCATGTCTTGGAATAAGAACAGCCCAACTTGTTTTTGTTTTTGTTTTTGTTTTTGTTTTGTCTAAGTATGCTCATATTTACCCCAAAGGAGGCACTGACTGCGGGCGGAGAGAGGTGACCAATGCCCCGTTACTTACATCAGAGGCTGGGCCTTTGTCAGCGCCTGGGCAGGAGAAAGTGACAAATTCATGGCACCGCTTGTGCACGACAAAACAGCAGACTGCAAAAGAGAAAATAAGGGTAGGAGGGAGAAAGGGAAGTGGAGAGGGGTAAGAGAGGGAAAAGGGGAAGAAATCATTAAACCTGACTTTGCAACAAGGAAAGGCTTTTACATCAAAATAGACAATGATGTCAGATTCCACATCTTACCCTTTATTGAAGCCAAACTCTTGGGTACCCTCCTGCTGCATCTTGCAAATCAGTTAAACTAGGGGTTCAAGAGATCATCACAACCACTCAAAATGACACCCCTCCCCCTCCCCAAAAATCACTTAAGCTGTCGTCTTGTGCTGGTTTTGAAACAGAATGTGATCTCTTAGATCGGGTACTACGTGAGGTAATCGGCTCATGTTTTGGTCCAGAATGCATAAGAAATACATATCTTTAACCACTAGAATCACACTCAGATAGACATGCATAAGAGGAAGGGCCCTGCAGAAAAACAAAGTAAGCAGAAATGGCAAACCCATTCCCCATCTCACCCAGAAGCAATGCAAGAGTGGAAGGAAAAAGCTGCAATGTTCACATTGTTACTGTAGTAGTTTGCAAACAACTACATACACACCTATATTTGAACTTGTATGAGTTAAATGCATCTCTGATATGGCTCCACTATCTGGGAATTATACACTTGAGAAGGAGCAGTTGGACACTGTATACAAAATAAAACTTATTTTGGGGGCACCTGGGTGGCTCAGTCAGTTAAGCGTCCTGCTGTTGGTTTTGGCTCAGGTCAACTCATGGTTCATGAGTTCGAGCCCCACATCAGGCTCTGTGCTGGCAGGGTGGGGCCTGCTTGGGATTCTCTAGCTCTCTCTCTCTGTCCCTCTCCCCTCCTTGAGCATGCTCTCTCTCTCCCTCAAAAAAAATGAATTAACTTTTAAAAAATAAATAAATAAATAAATAAAACTGATTGTGGGGGTGGGCACCTGAGTGGCTCAGTTGGTTGACTGTCCAACTCTTGATTTCGGCTCAGGTCTCGATCTCAGGGTCATGAGACTAAGCCCTGCATTGGGGCCCATGCTGATCATGAAGCCTGTTTATGATTCTCCCCTCTCCCCCACTCATACACACTCTCTCTCTCTCAAAGAAAAAAAATTTTTAACTGATTTTTTTTGTTGTTTTTCAAAAATCTACCTTTATAAACTCTAAACTGTCTTCCTGGAGGACACATACCACGCGGCAGGAACAGGCTTGGAATCTTTCCAAGGAACATTCTCAGCGAAGGAAAACAGGCAGGAAAGCTCAAGATTATGCCTAGTGATACAATGAACCTGGGCAACAATCATCGGTGGCTATTAACATCACAAAAAGACTTGACCTGCCTATTGATGAGACTTACCATGAAGTAGCCTATCACCTACCAAGTACTCTTGCCAAAATAATCAAACTTGAATCACTTCAAGCATTTTGATCCAACTACCAATTTACAGAAAATACAAGTGACAGAGCCACATATTAAATGACATCACAGGGAGGCAATGAGGAAAAAAAATTTTTTTAATGTTTATTTTTTTGAGGGAGGCAAGGGGCAGAAAGAGAGGGAGACACAGAATCCGAAGCAGGCTCCAGGCCCTGAACTGTCAGCACAGAGACCAATGCAGGGCTCCAACTCACAAACTATGATATCCTGACCTGAGCGGAAGTCTAATGCTTAATCTACTGAGCCACACAGGTGCCCCATAGGAAAAAAAATTTTTTAAACACAACAATGTAGAAAAACTATAAGATAACTGACTCTCTCTCAAAAATAAATAAGCATTAAAAAAATTGTTAAACTGCTCCAAAAGAAAAAAACCTGCAAGAAGTAAAGAATAGGTCAGAGGAGCAACTTATATAATCAAAGAGATTTGAGAAACCTATCAACTAAATGCAATATGTGGACCCTGTCTAGATCCCAGTTTGAATAAGCTACTAGTCTGAATAACAATGAAAAAATCAGGAAAATGGATATATTCACTTTATGATGATTAAGAGGGAATTATTGCTATTGATAGGGAATTAAAAAATTCTCTGGTGTGGTTATTTTTGGTTAAAGAATCCTTATCTTTGAGGATACATCCTGAAATCTCTATGGATAAAATGATTTAATTAAAATAATTAAGCATGATAGGAAGGAGATAGGGAAGGGTTATAGATGGGGAAAAAAATTAGTCATGACTGATCATTATTTGAACCTGAATGATGGACACATGAGGATTCATTATACTAAGCAGTCTACTTTAATATATGTTTGGTATTTTCCACAATGCAGAATTTTTAAATCCTCATGGTTGGGAACCAAGAAGAGTTCCAAAGGCCAATTTCTTTCTCCTTTGCTTACTCCCTTTTCTGTCTTAATAGTTACTGTATTTTATGAGTCATATATGCTTTGTATAAAGACATTTATGTTGGGGTGCTTGGTGGCTCAGTGAAATATATGAACAGTGGTCAACAGAAGTCAGAGATGGTTATCTCTGGACAGTAAGACTGCCAGTTGTAAGAGCCAAACTAATGACATCTGGACAAATTTACCATGATGATGGCTCTGTGACCTTGCAACCTTCTTGAGCACAACCCTCACCCTCATTCTTTCCATTTTGTTTAACTACACCCTCAAGTAAACCGTTGAAACATAATGTTATTGAAGTGCTCTGGAGATATGACTATGACACATAATATTCTTGAGTATCTCTCCCAGGTGGTCTACTACCAAGTACTCCCCAGCCTCTGGGGGCTATAAAAGCAGGTCTTGATGGAAGTTGGGGCTGTGGAGATCTATTCATCCTGCAGCCACCCAAGACCCGTTCCTGTCCTTAAGTCCCTTTACTGAATCATTTCTTACCAAGCTGGATTTGGCTTTTTTTCTTTGGTCCTGTGACTCCTTCAGCCTTTGGAGGTCGTTTTGCACATAACTCCCTTTCACAGAACACCAATTATGGCCACTTTGAACCTTTTTTCTATATTGTTCAAAATGTTTACAATGAGTATATAATCAGGGAAATAAGCCTAGTTCCATTTTGAAACAAAATCAAGAGTCAAAGAAAAACATAGCTCAGGGAATGAAAAATATTATTGCCAAAATTGGAAGCTCAGGGGCTGGGCTGATAACCGAATGGACATGGCTAAAGAGGTATTTAGCAAACTGGAAGTCTAAATTGAGGGACTCCCCCAGAATTCAACAAAAGGTATGGAAAGGAATAGGAGAAATGAAGGATAGATCCAAACATTTTAATATCCATCAAAATGGATGTTCAAGAGAGAACAGAGTGGTAAAGATGTAATCAAAGAAAATAGAAAAAGAAAATTCCCTAAAGATTAAGAAGAATGTGAGTCATTAATTTGAAAGAAACAACCAAGCAAGCATCAGTAGGTATAAAGGAAGAAAAGAGAGTGACGGTATCTGAGATCATTCAAGCGTGTCCAGCAGGGGCAGGAAGTGAAGAGGGGAAGACTACCAAAAAAGAAACCAAAATAATTTTGACATCTGATTTCTCATCTGCAATTCTGAATTCCTGAATATGATAGAGCAGTATCTTCAAAGGCTTAGGAAAATTCATTTCAACTGAAAACCTTATACAAAGCCAAACTGGCATTCAAATGAAGGTACAAAATAAAGACATTTCCAAATATAAGGACTTAGAAAATTTGCCTCCCACAAAAGAACTACTAGAGCATATACACCCCACAAAAGAATACCCCCCCAAAATGAATGAAAAGAGGCATACAAATAGAAGTGAAAGAATGAACAAAAACAAAGATGGAGGGGTACCTGGCTGGCTCAGTGGTGGAGCTCACAACTCTTGATCTCAGGGTTATATGTTCAAGCCCCACGTTGGGTGTAGAGATTAGTTTTTTTTTTTTAATCTTAAAAAAAAAAAAGAGGGAGAGAGGAGGGGGAAGAATCTAAGTCATAAGAAATGGGGGTGGGAAAAGGACTGTAACATTGAGATGTGCAAAGAGTCTTGTCTTATTCCTCAAGAGGTTATAGATACTGAGAAGGTGCAAGTAAGACACTGTAAGCCTGAATATATGTGCTAACAATTAAGAACAAGAATAGAAATATTATGTATAGTTTGCAGACTACTGAAGGAAAAAACTGGACAAAGAAAACTCAGTCCAACTACACTTGAAAAGGTCCTCCCACATGCCCAAATTTCACGTAAATATTATTCTTTTTTTTTTTTTTACTCCTATATGGCATCGCTTTGCGCTTCAAATTCTTTAATCCGTCTGTAATTTCTTGGCACTTGATGTGCATGGGAATCTACTTTGCCATTTTTTCCCAAATAGGTGATCAACTGTCCCAATGTGTTTTATTGAATAATCAATCCATCCCTTTCCCTCTGATTTCAAGTGCCAACTTTATTATATGCTGAATAATTATATATGCTGGGGTCTGTCTCTGGGCCTTCTGTTCTCTTCCACTGATGTGTCTTAGAGTACAGCAATGTGGGTTTTAATTATAGTAGCTTTATAATATGTTATATCTTGGCAGGGCAAGTCCTCTCTCATTATCCTTACATCCAACATTTTCTTGGCAATCACTGCATGTTTATTCTTCCAAGTGAACTTTAGAATCAGTTTACCAAGCTTTTAAAAATACCAATGGAATTCTTATTGGAATTGTATTTAGTCAACCATCCCACACAGAGAAATACTCACTGGAACTTTGATTGAAATTGTCTCAAATTTAGATATTAAATTCAAGAGAGCTGACACTTTTATAGCAATGAGTCTTTCTATCAGGAATAGGGTGTCACCTTGTTAAAATCTGACTTTGTGTCATTCAAGGAAGTCTTCTCTTTTCTCCACAGGTCCTACACACTTCTCATTTAGTATTAGTCAAGGGATCCATTTTTTACATAGTTGTGATTTGGACATTTTTTTCCCATTTTATTTTCTAGCTGGTGATGGTTTACAAACAGGGAAGCAATATATTTATTTTGTAAGCATTTTTTTTAACTCTTAATAGTTTTTTTGTGGGTTTTCAGTTGCTTTCTTTGAGTTTTCTAGATAAAG